GTGATGATTGGCTGAACCTCTGACGTTCTGAACAAACAGCAATCATGGTGAACGGGTGCCATGTGCTTAAGTGCCTCCTGTCCCTCACCCCCCCCCGACTCTGATTCCCATTTTTTCCCCTTTTTAGTTAACAGCCATAAAAACTCTTCAGCGTGCGTGAGCGAACAGCCTACCGGGAATACAGCGAGTGGGGGAAGAAAGGTCTGAAGAAAAGTCTGACAGGACGGGCAGCCATTTTAGGACTTCATTTTCACTCTGTGAACATGTCAGATGTAATCGAATGCAACTGTAAATAGGATTTGTAAAATATGAAATTATATATTTGTATTTAAAGAAAGGACATGTTTTGTTTTTGTCTTTCGACCGCCGCCGTAGTAGTGCCTGGTTAACTACTGCCGCCCGTCTGTAATGAGACTTAGGTAGACTCCGTCGCGTGGCCTGTTTTTATTGGCAGCGTGACACGTACGTGTTTAAAGTCTCTCATTTGAAACCCAGATGAATAATAACTTTCTATATGATGTATCTGATGGGGGAAACTGTGTTGTGGTAAAGGCAGTAAATGTTCCCTGTTAGCCCATCTTTCCTAGTCCCCAATAATGAAATGCCTTGGCACTGAAGAAGAAGGGGGGCTGGGTGAAATGACTGAAGGCACGGCTGTTTGGACACTTTGGCCAAGTCTATACGTTGGAAAATGTGCCTTAAAAGCCCAATGAAACCATTGTTTTTACTTTATTTTAGATTGTTCCCCACCCTGGAGTCTGTAAGCCAAGAGAAATTCCAGTCCATCATTCATTTGTCTTTTAATAATTGTCACAAAAAATCTGTGAGAGCATTTTTGTTCGTGATAGCCAAATATCACTTCTCGTGGTACTTATGAAGATATGAAGTCGATAAATATACCAAATCTTGATGACGGTAGACTTTTTTTAGGGTGAGGAACCAATTCTCCCGAGTGAGAACCACAGTCCCGTTCATAAAACGTCACATTGAATAGACCCACCCTACTGAATCTGTTAAAATGCTCAAGCGAAGTCTTTTGAAAACTGATTCAAACAGCGTGGTGCATTTATGTTGCGATATGAAAACCGGTGTGAATCGGACCACACCCAATCAACACCTGGCTTGGTTGTGAGGGGCGGGTGAAAACAAAATAAAGCTACATGATTAGAGGATTGTCTGTACTCTCTATGTTTGTGTGATCTTGACTAGCAGGAATATTTTCTTCCAGCAAATTATTCATTGAAATTGTCTCATTACCATATCACTAGAGGACACAGAACGGGGAGGTAACATACATTTAAGTGTTTAGTGAACTAAGAGATTTCAGGATAAGATAATAGGATTGCATATTGTCTGTGAAGATCTTTTCCTTAACTACGTAAACGTTAGGAGTCCCACCAGCTGTGGTGCCACGCCCGTGCAAACAGCGGGACAGAGGAAGATTTCAAGTTGAGTTGTCGGACACCCCCGCTGTCTTTGGTTTATGTTACAACATATAACCTGGACACTAACATGTGAACAGGGATCCAGGATTGAGGTAACAAAAAACACCCGTTTCTGAAAAATAAAGGACTATAAAGCATTTCTACACAGTGTGAAGAAGCTATGGCTGAAGAGAAATGTGATAAAAACCTGTTATATTTCTATGGCCTGCCTTTGGCTGGCGGGGCTTAGATGGAACCGGGTTTCAGGTCCAAATTAACAATACCCCCTTTGGGAACACAATCCAAATGTTGCCTATTATAAACATCACTGTGCCTCTGTTGAAGATGAGATCACATTTCAGCTCTAATGTACGCCTTGGGGCCCCGGAGTTTCGCGGCCTGGATCCGATACAATAACCTCCTTCACTCCAAATTCATTAAATTACATTGATGCGCGACCGGAGGAGTACACGCAAGTGCCCTCAGGGGGTGTACGGGTGTCGCGCGTTAAACGTACGGGTGCGCGGGCATCTCACCGCGTCTACGTATCTCTGTCCCGGCTCCGATCTCTCCCCCCCGCTCCCTGTGATTAAAATAGGCCTCTGCCCAGGGAGCTCTCTCCGTGGCGCTGCCCCTGCCAACGTGCTGACATGTGAGTCACGCCTCAACATCTGTTAGCTTTCAGACTGTGTGGCGACTGCCAGGGGGATGCATTACCCGTCCGCGGCACGGCAGGTGATATAACACAGCATACCTGGAATGACACGGCCTCAAAAGGCATAGCGGATGTACATTGTGTGCGTACGGCATTCGCACGATCTTTGATAGAGACCAACGGCGGCTGTATGAAACGCGTAACAGAGGAAGAGACTTCTATGATAATAATCCCGACAACTTGAATGTATTGTACTTAGCGATTCCCGGGGAAAATGTATTAATGAATTTAGTAATTCCGAAATGATAAAGAAACCAAATCTTCGGGAGGAAGTGCGACACTATTTACATCCTTGTTTTGACCACTTTGTGGGCCGTCCTATATTTATAAAGTTAACACAGTGAGTGGGAGTGTAGATAATTCCTCCATACATAATATTTACGGACCCGTGAGAGTTTTTTGTCAACGCCTATGGACTGCCTTATTCTATTTAAACCCGGTGTTGAACAAACGGTGCACATAAAAACAAGGACACACTGACCTTTGACACAAAAAAATGCATTCTGGGCTTTTCGGCTACTTGCCGTGAAAGTAGTTCTGTTTTAAGCCAAAAAAAAACACCCGTTTTCAAACTTGGAATTTCATGGCCAAGTGAGGCACGGTTGTGATTCTGCTGGTAGATATGTATACATGTGCAGCATATTACGCATCCAGGCCAGAATGGTAAGTTAAGATTAATATATCTTATAACCCGAGGTGCTGCTTTTATAGAGCCTTTATCCTAGCCAATCTAAATCACGAGAGCCCGTCGTGTTGTAAGTGACTGTTTGTAAGCGTCTGGGTGGAGGCATGGGGGGGGGGGGCACATTCAGACCGGGGCATTTGTATCTACATGCAAGTGAAAGGGAACAGCCTGGGTTGGCTTTATCTTTCCTAAATCTCTGTAGAGTACACAGACAATGCCGGGCTGGAATCCACCGAATGAGACCTGGGCAGAAACCGAACCTCCTCTGCGGTGATGTAATGGTATAAATGCAGTGCCGGTCGAGGAAAGCGGATACTCCCTGGATACCAGGCACCTCCAGCGACGAGGCCACGAGGAGCACGTCAGAAATACACTGTGCATAATAGAAACAGCTTCGGCGCATGAAGCGCGGATCGAGTTGGATCGGCGTGTTTATCACCCGGTGGGTGGATTGAAAACGCTTGGGCCTGTTCCTGCTTTCAACTAAAGATCTCGCTCGCCTCTCCCCACAGATAAAATGGTTTCTCTGGCTTGTGGGAGGGAGGGTGTCTGTCTCTGACACAGCACATCAGGTACCAGGGCTGTAATAACAGTGCGACCGGTGTGTGTTTATGTGTGATTTAGTGGCGAAGAGGAGCGATTTAGCCATAAATCTGCATGTCCCATAACCACTCTGCCACGCCACTCCTCTGTGTCTCAGCACCCCAGCCAGCCACCCACCACCCCGACCCCCACCTCGCCAACCCCCCTCCGCTCAGATGAATGGCGGGAATGCAGTGAGTCAGTGGAGCAGCGCCGGGTTTTGGCCCAGTGACAGACGGTCTCCTGTGAGCCGCCTCACATCAAAGGGCGTCTGAAACCTGACTAGGTCCTTGTAAACAGGGATGCTTGGCCCGGAGGCCCGCTTCCTGCGCTTAACTCAACTTAATGGCCGGCTTGTTTGGCTTTTCGTTGAAGCAGAGAGAGACGAATGGGGAGTCCGGGAGAAACGAGATCGGCGAGGGGCGTGGGACGGCTGGTTTTGCTAAGGAGAGTCTGAGGTTACTATAGGGAGTGGTGGACGGGGGGGTGTGTTTGGTTGTAGGTATTTTAGAAAGTTTTATTTAATAGGGGTTATTTTTTCCATGTCCAAGGGAAACGAAAAAGAAGAGAAGAAAAGATGAGAAGAACTAGTTTAGGGAACAATCTTGCTCAGCTTTATAAATCTCTGGACAAAACCTTTGGCTCTATGGACGCTGAAAGAAATAAACAGAAACAGATGCTCCCATTTTCCAAATGTTTTGAGTTTTGCCGCCGAAGCCCGGTTCCCTTTATATTCCCAGCCAGGAAAACTGCAATCGGACTAGCGTGACCTTGCGAGGAGGCTTCAGACATTTACACCGGTTTATGCCTCGTGGGTATAAGACATCTGTTTCTAGGGACCGTTTCGTGTAGTCCTGGTGGTTGTCGGTGACCTCACTATGTGGACGCTATAACAATACCTAGGTGCAAAGGCTCTACGTGTTTAAATGCAAACCGTTATAAATGTATTAATAAAAAAAAAACGCTCCAAAAAACTAGAGAAAAAGTTACGGAAACACAAAAAAACTCGGTCTTCAGTTCAAGGTTAAGGCAAGGTCTGAGCACTTATGCTCAGGAAGTCTCGGTCAGACGTTATCAACAGCTAACAGCTCAGATTCTCTTGACCTCCAACCATATCTATATATCTCAAAATCTTACTGGCAGCCCAGTATAAGTTCCCTGCCTGTTCAACCATTGCATGGATTGCTTCCTGTGGCTGCCTTAGAGGTGTGGGGGAGGGGCAGGCTGAGAGTTGGCAGGGAAGAAGGTGAAAAAGCCTTTCTCAGTTCCCATGTAACGGCAGCCCTGCCTGCGCTTTGAGTGCAGTGTCATGCGTTGTCACAATACCTCTTGCTGGGCAGAACAATCAAAAGTTTCAGTGAAATTACATGACAGTCACGCACATCCTGTAAAAAATACACGTTTTTTTCTTTTACATGAATGCTTTCTTTGTGTGCCACTTTTTAGACGGCAGTTGAAAAGTTCACAGATTTCTTGGCTCGGCACTGTCAGGGGAGAAGATGAGCGGCGTTAAGTAAAGACATTGGTTATTTGGGAAGCCAATTTAACTCTCTTACTCTGGAATCTCTAACGACCGGCCCATCCATGGTTCGTGGGAGATGGTAGCTCAGTGGTGGAGTGCATTTTTTGTGGTTATGATGTCCTGGGTTCAATCCCAAGTTTCTCCCTATAGGGCGCCGTTGCAAATGAGAATTTGTTCTCAATCGGCCTACCTGGTAAAATGCTGAAATCTCCGAATTAAATAGGTTAAATACATTTTTAAAAAATGGTTCATTCCGGGGCTTAGAAGATATGTACGAACTACGGCCGTGTAGGGAAGAGAACAGGAGGAAACAGAAGCAAACAGCTGTTGTCTGTTGTAGTCTCTTTTCCCTTCCGCCACCCTCTTCTTGGCTAACACACACACACTCACACACACACACTCCAGTTGTCTAGTGTTACACACACAGGCCACTCCGAGGTGGCTTCATTGAGATAGATTGGTGTGGCCCAGGCTAAACACACAGACACACAGACACACACACACACACACACACACACACCAAAGCTTGTTTCTATCCTTGTACGGCACTGAACAATAATTGCATTATTTGTGTGTGTGTGTGTGTGTGTGTGTGTGTGTATGTGTGTGTGTGTGTGTGTGTGTGTGTGGTGGATGAATTTAGGGAAAAGGTGTGTGTGTAATAGAAGGGTAGAGGGAGAAGGTGTGTGTGTGGTAGAATGGTAGAGGGAGAGGTTGTGTGTGGTAAAGAGAGGGTGTGGGTGTGGTAGAGAGGGTGTGTGGGTGTGGTAGAGAGGGTGTGGTAGAGAGGGTGTGTGTGTGTGTGATAGAGAGAGGGTGTGTGTGTGTGTGTGTGTGGTAGAGAGAGGGTGTGTGTGTGTGTGTGTGTGTGTGTGTGTGTGTGTGTGTGTGTGTGTGTGTGTGTGTGTGTGTGTGTGTGTGTGTGTGTGGTAGATAGAGGGTGTGTGTGTGTGGTAGAGAGAGGGTGTGTGTGTGTGTGTGGTACAGAAAGGGTGTGTGTGTGTGTGGTAGAGAGAGGGTGTGTGTTTCTGGTAGATAGAGGGTGTGTGTTTGTGGTAGATAGAGGGTGTGTGTTTGTGGTAGAGAGGTGTGTGTGTGTGTGTGTGTGTGTGTGTGTGTGTGTGTGTGTGTGTGTGTGTGGTAGATAGAGGGTGTGTGTGTGTGGTAGATAGAGGGTGTGTGTGTGTGGTAGAACGGTAGAGGGATTGTCCCTGTGCTTCTCCAGCTGCTGCGTTACAGAGACGTGCCGACAGCTGCGTTACAGATATTTTAGAGCCTGGGATAAAGTTGAGCTTGATTTGGAGGTGAGGTGGTGGTGGATGCCCGGCTAGACACCACACTGTGTAAACAACCACGTCACTCATGGTAAAGGTCTGGGAGCTATGGCACAAATAGGTAAACGATCTGGTGAGGAGAACTGAGAATATTGTGTTATCTCCTAAAAGACACCCCATTTATCTGCTCCACACCTGATGGTATTTGAAACAGTATTCATTATCTATAATACAACCATGCCATCAACCACCCTGTATATCACCTAGCTTGGCAGTTTTCTTTCTCTCGGTTCCCAGCTCAGGTTACGTGTGTCTCTTTGACTCCTGTGGCACACATATATAGCACACATAGCTAGCAGACAGCCCTTGCTGAGACAAAACCCAGTTGTCGGTGGGGTTAAAGGCACGTCCCAGCTCAGTGTTCAGGAAGCCCCCTGTCTGAAGTAACTGTGGTCCCTTGTTGGAGCGAGCTGGCTTCAGGTTGGATCACTCCCTGCTCCATAGATGCTTTAAAGACGTCGAACCAGGGGAAATGCCAAGGCAATACACGGAGGAGACGTTGTGGCGGGGTGCATGTGAATCTCCACGTTGACCCCAAGACAAAACTTGTCTACATTTAGGCTATACTTTGCATGCGTCTATTTCACACTTGTATGTGTGAGTATAATGCTTTTGTAGATGTCCAATATGTTCATCGTCAACAGTCACTGATATCTTTCTGCTAGCTATGCTACCAGCAGCCCCTTCCTCTCCATTTAAATAGTAAGCAGTGAAAACGAGCCAAAACTCAACTCAATTTCATTGGGGGCCTCTATATCTATAAAGGACCTATCAAATATTTGCTTAGTTAGATCAGGTTTTTGACGGTGCGCCAATGACGGCTTCCTTACTCTATTCTCCACAGACTGTCCTTTAACAAATCTATTGAACCTCTGTTGTACCGCACGAAGAATCAAAGTGACACACCTGAAACGTAGAACGGCCAGATTAAACCTCCACGATGGATTTCTACGTGGATTTATGCTAAGACTTCTTAGCCAGCAGCACCACGTGATTAAAGGTTTTAAACACAGGAATTGGAGCGAGGAGAACACAATATCCCCGATATGTCCAAATACTTCCCGGAAATCTCAGCTAAACGTCTCTGGAATGCGTATGTAATACAAACACAACTTGTCCCTTAGTTGGAGTGTTTTGTATAAATGCAATGAGGAATTGGGACATGCTGACATACTGTTTATCAGAATCCGTATGGTCGAATACTGTGCATCTGAAATAAAGAAGAAAAAAACTTCTTTCCTCACTTCCTGACTTACTACCTTAGCTCCTCTCAGACCAGCGGGGGGGTGGTGGGGGGGGGGCTCCTATTAACTGGTCTTTTAGAGGAATTTACAACCCTGTAGCTACACCGCTCACTCACTCAGACTATGAGTGGACCCGTGCGGAGAGGTAGGTGAGCACACTGGCACATTGTCTCCAAATGGCCGGCAGTGGAAATGTACTGATGGTGGTTGAGCTGTGCTCTGTGTGTATGTGTGTGTGTGTGTGTGTGTGTGTGTGTGAGAGTGTGAGTGTGTGTGTGTGTGTGTGTGTCTGTGTGTGTGTGTGTGTGTATGTGTGTGTGTGTGTGTGTGTGTGTGTGAGTGAATGAGTGGGTAAAGAAAGAAGGGCTGTAGGTTTTCTCTGTAATTTCTTTCTCCCTATGCAGCGTAATCACTTCCATATGGGTCCAGCCCAAAGAGAGAGAGAGGTGAGAGTAAAACCACACAGACTCAAATGCAGGCATCCACGCTCTTATATAACTCATTCTACAGACATGCAATACTACCTGCATTTACTGTAAAGTCCAAATGATTTAATGACGGTAAATTACGCATTGGTAGAGTTACTGCAAAGACCTCAGATACACACAGTCCTCACACGGTCCTCACACAGTCATAACACAGTCTTCACACAGCCCTCACACATTCCTCACACTGCCTTCACACGGTCCTCACACGGTCCTCACACTGTCCTAACACAGTCTTCACACGGTCCTCACACAGTCCTAACACAGTCTTCACACAGTCCTCATATTTCCTACAAATGGTCTTTTAAACCAAACATTTCAGAATGTGTACTTTTTACATGAAACAACTCGGATACTTAGCGTAAAGTAAAGTATAGAGATTGATTGAACAATTCGTAGCATTTTGTGGTCATTCCAAGGACAGACGACCGCATTTTCAAATTTCCCCTTCCCTAAACCATGAGGTTTATTCGTACATTTTTTGGTGTCGCTCTATCTCTCGCTGCACACGTTGAGCTCTATTTTGGAAGGCCTGAGCAATTTACAAACAAGCTCTTCAGACCAGACGTTTACGGTCAATGTGCAGCCAAACAAACACAGAACCAAAAACAAATTGCCCTTCTGCACTTCAACCTCACACACACAGACCTTATCTGCATCGTGGCAGACTACAGAGACCCCCGAATCCAGGTCGCTTCAAATGCTAAATGGGGAGTAGTCAGTTCTGTCATCTCTCATATACACATTTAAATTAAGAAGAGAAAAGTAAATAAAAACACAAAAAAGTGAAAGAAGAGATGTCCTGTGATTGTGCCACACAAGAGACAGCACATTCCAGCCGTGAGGGCAGGCTACACACATTTCCCTTATTAGGTGTTCTGAAGTGTAGTGTGGGGTTTTATGGGATTTTCTACGTCCAGTCAGCAACACCCCCTGCTGTCCTTTCATGCCCAGTTCCGTAATCTGTGTTGGCTCTGTACAATATGTCCTGGGAACGGCCTACTGTGACAGGGCTCCACTCCATCACGGCTCTAATCTCTGTGACAGGGCTCCACTCCATCAGGTCTCTAATCTCTGTCACAGGGCTCCACTCCATCACAGCTCTAATCTCTGTCAAAGGGCCCCACTGCATCACTGCTCTAATCTCTGTCACATGTTCCCACTCTAGTCACAGGGTCCCACTCTAGTCACAGGGTCCCACTCTAGTCACAGGGTCCCACTCTAGTCACAGGGTCCCACTCTAGTCACAGGGTCCCACTCTAGTCACAGGGTCCCACTCTAGTCACAGGGTCCCACTCTAGTCACAGGGTCCCACTCTAGTCAGTGTCCCACTCTAGTCACAGGGTCCCACTCTAGTCACAGGGTCCCACTCTAGTCACAGGGTCCCACTCTAGTCACAGGGTCCCACTCTAGTCACATGGTCCTACTCTAGTCACAGGGTCCCACTCTAGTCACATGGTCCCACTCTAGTCACAGGGTCCCACTCTAGTCACATGGTCCTACTCTAGTCACATGGTCCCACTCTAGTCACAGTGTCCCACTCTAGTCACATGGTCCCACTCTAGTCACAGGGTCCCACTCTAGTCACATGGTCCTACTCTAGTCACAGGGTCCCACTCTAGTCACATGGTCCCACTCTAGTCACAGTGTCCCAGTCTAGTCACATGGTCCCACTCTAGTCACATGGTCCCACTCTAGTCACAGGGTCCCACTCTAGTCACAGGGTCCCACTCTAGTCAGTGTCCCACTCTAGTCACAGGGTCCCACTCTAGTCACATGGTCCCACTCTAGTCACATGGTCCTACTCTAGTCACATGGTCCCACTCTAGTCACAGGGTCCCACTCTAGTCACATGGTCCTACTCTAGTCACATGGTCCCACTCTAGTCACAGTGTCCCACTCTAGTCACAGGGTCCCACTCTAGTCACATGGTCCTACTCTAGTCACAGGGTCCCACTCTAGTCACATGGTCCCACTCTAGTCACAGGGTCCCACTCTAGTCACATGGTCCTACTCTAGTCACATGGTCCCACTCTAGTCACAGTGTCCCACTCCAGTCACATGGTCCCACTCTAGTCACAG